ATTCCCGAAAGAACAAGATAGTTCTAGAAACAAGAGAGCGTGAGAATTGTCACGTGATCTCGATGACGCAACAATATATAGTTTTATTAAAAACAAATATTTGAAATATATTTACGAGGTTTTAGAAATTACACAAATGAAATTAGAAATTTTTGAGATGAAGAAAAGTATTTTTAATCTTAACATGAAAATCACTTTGCACACGGACTATTCAAAACAAATACTTGATATATTCAAGGACAAATCTATTTTTAGTTTATTAAAAATACTTCAATAAAAAATATGAATTTTTGTATGAAAGACTACCAAATTTCGTGAAGATATACAAACTACATTAAAAGGGAGTAGTATCAAATCTATAAGGACTTTGAATGAGTACAAAGAGGTCACTCAAACTGACCGAGCCCATGTTGAGAGAGTTAAGTTAAAGAAACACAAAATTAGTTTTGTACCTGCGTGGGTACACTGGATCATCACTCTAAATTAACACTTTCTGTTGTTTAGATTACTGTATCTTGTTCAGAAGAATACTTTCCCCTAAATGTCTCCAGACAGCCTGCCAAATTCAACGTTCCTCAATTTGAAAGAAACTGCCTTCTAGCCAGTGCAACATGCACAACCTATGTGAATGATAATTCTCATTATAACATAGTGAGGCCGTAACACCTCTAGATATCACTTGAACAACCCCTGAAGGACACTGCCATAAAAATTTGTACACAGTGTTGTATTAATCAATGTTCTCCTTGTGTTTTAACAGATATTACCAACTTTGTGAAGAACAAAATTATGTAGGTAACTTGAAATAAGATTAAGTTAATGGTTTTCTCACATTATGGGAAGCCTCCATATATTAGAACAAAGTATAAATTTAGAATAAATATCTAACACTACAGGAAGACAGAAACCCATGATATATTAAAATATAAAAGATGTAGCCAGAAGATATCAATGAAAGAATTTTTCCTCTATAACATTTCAGTGCTTTATTTTTAATTTTTTGATAATCCTTTTACTTTCATGGTTTTTTGTACCTATTTACTCTTATTATATATTTTTTTTCTGTAATTTTTCTTTTAATTTGCTTTTTAATTATTTTCTTTATTTTTTCTTATTCATTATTACTGTTGGATATTTATTTAATTTTTTCTACTTTTATATCTCTTATCAGTATACCTTTATCCTCTTCCACTAGAAATAACTGTGCCTTCATCACTAATCCGTGTATTCACATTTATAGATGAAAAGTTATACAAGCAATGAGAATATTGTTGTGTCAGTGAGGTCACGTGACTAGTATCACGCCACGTCCTTCTCGAACCTTCGTGAATTTTCGGGAGACTGCTAGATTGGGGGTAGTCTGGTATATATAAGACGGTCACAACGTGACAGAACAATGTGTGTAATTGAACTGAGTATTGTTGAAGTTGAGCACGTGAGACGTTCATTGAGAATTATAGCATTTGTTATAGAGCGACTGTTGAAATTAAGTATATCGCAAAGTTGTATTCAGAGAAAATAAACCAGTTTTATTTAAGAAAGGACTTGTGTCGCTAAAGTTTCGTCGTAACAAATTTACGAAAAATTAACTAACAAACGGAGACATAACAATATAGTCTACATGTTAGTTTATTAGCTTACACAATAATGCTTCATATAAGCATCATAACTTATCATTAAGGCTATTCTAGACTACTGCCCCCATCAGTAGATATTTGGTGTATAATTAGCTGTTAAATTCATCCCCAAAAGATGCTTCAGTAAAGAACAGCAGTGATAACAGAATTGAAATCTAGAAATTGTAATTTTCACTTACTGAAAATCAAGCTTCAACCAGATATTATCATCAACACAAACAAGAATAAAAATTTGATCACTTATCAACTTACATAAAAGCATGAGGCAGTAAACCTGAAATATAACAGTCACCAATCAACACCTTTAAAGAACAGTAATTCAGACCTAGAACTTAACTTCAAACTTATGCCCCCCCCCCAACCCAAAAAAAAAAGATTACTCTTGACTACCAACATATTTGAAACTGAGTTGGTGGCCATTCATAATACTCCAAAATAAGATTGAAATTCATAGCACCATCACTAAGACTAACTATTAACAGAATAGACTTAAGAAACGGATCTTCAACACTACAAAAAAAAAATGAGAAAGAAAACAAACTGTTAAGTCTGATAAGAATTTAATCTTTCAAACATCAGGTTTAAGAACTGCCAATCATACTCACCCTAAAGGATGTCCCAGACTGACAGCTCCACCATTAGGATTGACTTTACTAGTATCAAGATCTAGAAGTTGGATATTGATCAAGGGAACAACACTAAAAGCTTCATTGATCTCCCACACTGCAATATCTTCTTTCTTGAGGCCAGACTGCATCAGTACCTGGAGATTATGAACACCATAATAATAATTAGAAAATATTTAACATTATAGTTAGTCTGAAACATTACTATTTGAACATAAACATTTACAAACAAATTATAATCAGTATACCTAAAATTTATGATAGAAATCATATAAACTGCACTTTTTTTTACCACATCCCTCTTAATTTGTCTATTTCAGACTCAAAATCAGGGGCATACAAACTTTTCATTTCAGATCTAATAAGAAATTAAAATGACATCAACATTTTGACATGCACAATAATTTATTTATATAAAGTTTCAAGGAGAAAAATACATGCCAAAAACTATGTTTCAGTGGAATGCACCCCCACCATCTTCAGGAGATAAAGGAAACATAAATTTCTTTGACATAAACAGTAAATGTACAAAATGCATCTTGTACAGTAGTGCAGTTTACCAAATGGATTTCCACAAATTTATGTCTATGGCACCTGAACCTAAACATCTATTCAAAATCAAGTTGTTTTCAACAACTTCTAATGATTCTCTCACATTTAATTTTTTCTTCTATAAATCGTTTTTGTATATGACACCGCTGTACCAGATGCAAATTGTACATCTACACTTACCATGTATATCAATAAATTATTTTTGTCTCCTCAAGATGGTGGACAAAATGTGTAGAAGTTTTTAGCATATATTTTTCTGTTTTAACATTATAATAAATAAATTATTATGCATGTAGAAACACGGGTATTGTCATTTAATTTTTTATTGAAACTTTGGACAAGAGCTGTTAGCCTAATCAATTTCAGGTCTACCTTTTGTCTCCCACAAGCCACTACCCAAGAGGCCTTTCATTCATTACCCAAATTCAGTTAACCTATCAAATGCTATTTATATATGCAGTATAATACTTCAAAAATTTCAGTTTAAAACACTGAAAGCTGGTGAAGATATAGAAACCAACAGGAATGTGGTAAAAAAATCTGCACTTTGTGATTTTTGTAAATATATTTACACCTATTGGTTTTTAATTAATGCTTCACCAGATTTTTGCATTTAAACTATACCAAATACAATTATACAGTATTATCACAACAACTAAAACACCTTACAACTCTTTGCATAGTGCTTGTATGACATTAAAAATAGTTTGTTATAACCTTCTCATACCCCTTTATCTGGTTTATTGACAAGTAGATGTTACAGAAGGTATCTTAACATAGGAATATAAACAGTAAAATCAAACAATTGTACAAGTGTATAATTTTCTCAAAAACTTTTGGCAAGTTAAATTTAGGAAGTCACTAGATATAAAAATATTTTAGTTTTTGGTACATTAAGGCTTAATCCCACATTACTATATGCTTTTAGTTCAAAGACTAAAACTAATAAAAGATGAAAGAGAAAAAGCAAAATATGAGCCTACCATGCAAAACTATTTATATTCAACATCATAAGAATAACAAATGTTTTTACTGAAGGAAGAACCTCACAAATATAGTTTGTTTTAAGTGATATTTTAAATGACTAGTTACTATAATCAGAATTAATTATCTAATTAACAATAATTACTATTAAAATCTTCCTCTTAAGAAATTAATATTTACATTTATTACCATTATAAAAAGCTTATTAAATATTTGTGTCAACTTTATCAAAACCACAGACATAAACTGTGAGTAATAATGCTTGGAGATGGCTTGAACAGGTAATGAAAAAAACTTTAATATAAGTTTAGCATAACAGCAAATGTACAATGTTTCGACAAGGTTCTATCATCATCAGGTACAAGTAGTTTACACTGACACACACACAAATATATATATATATATATATATGTGAGTGTGTGTGTGTGTGTGTATATATA